AATTAGCACAATAAAACAATAGGCACACTTTAGAGGAAATATGAAAAATATTTCACCAAGGACAGAATATTGTTTTAATACAATGTCACAATATTCCAGACAAACTGACATTTCTCCGTCCTAAGAACAGTGAGGATCAACGACAGAACATTCCCATTCACTGGACCACTGCACTTTACAGAAACCTACAAACAAGAACAATAGAGCAATTAAACAGAGAAAGCATTTGTATTTTAAAGAGTACAGAAAAACGGCACAGAAAAAAATAAGACTTACAATTTTAAGACGTTGTGAACTTGCTGTGTATGTGACATCATCAGAACTGATGATGATTGGGACCGGATGCCTGGGGTGGAAAAACATTTTTGTGTGTCTTCTTTGCCTGTTTATGTTAGAAGTAGAAAAAAAATAGTCAGATAGAATCAGTTGATGTTGGCAATAACTATGAAGCTGTTTTAAGTGTGGACTAAAGGAGACAAATTACCTTAAAATCTTTCCATCCATGATCTGAACATACTGACCCTTGCAGAGTGGTGAGGGGGCTGGTGGTGCCCATCTCCAGCAGTCATCAGATGAGAGGCAGGGCTCACCATGGACAGGTCACCAATCCATCACAGGGCCCTGAAAGCTAACATTGAATAAAATGTATGAAAGAGAAATGGCAAATTAACAAGGGGGAAAATTCTGTCCAGTTATCTTTAAAACGCCTCCTTCGCTAGAGGACCCAAATTTGGGTCCTCGGCGCTTGCCGGAACAAGATCGGTTGAAAACACATGCTATACATTTATCAATATAGGCATATTGCATATCCACATATCGGGAAAAAGCTCTTCTAAATGATAGAAATAATATTTTCTACCTCAACAACACCCAGCTTGAACACTAAGCAGCTTGATAAAAAGAAACGCAATTAGATGCTAACGAGGCTAACGAGGCATATCCGGTAAAAAACGCAACAATGGAAGAGCAACGATTCCCAATGCCCACAAACTATCTATCAGAGTAAAGCCGAAGCTCTGCTGTTTCCAACAATACCAGAGTCACCACGCTAGTGCAAAACTCACTGAACCAGCAGCTAAAGAAGAAAAAAAGAAATAGCTAATTTCACGAAACTAAAAACATAAATTCAGTCCTACCTTTGCTGTTTCGTGGTCTTATGACCAATAGAATCCGAGGGCGTTGACATTAATACGGAACCTAAAGCCATTCACCAATTACAGCGAGGAAAACGCATTCACGGAGTTTGCCTCTAGATTTTGTATATAGTAGCTAGGAGACAGAAGAGGCTCTGGGCAGAGCCGAAAACAATGTGAGATGGTCGCAGGGAAAATGGATTATCGAACCAAGTGGAAATATTTACTCTAATAAGGATTATTCCTTATAAGGATTATTCCTTATTAGAGCATAATTTTGAATGTTTGAATGGAGAACTGCATGATTTTACGCGCAGAGTGCAAAGTGCAGAGTTCATTATTGTAATGTAATTTGAGATATATTAGTTTTTTCCTGTGATCATATCATTTTGACAAATTAGTTTTCATTGCTATTTGCATTTTCATTATTATATAATTCTATTTTAAATGTTATTGTGAGTTAATCTGTTCCATTTTCAGACTATTACAATTTATCTATTTTTTTCTCTTTTTATGAATGCATGCAATGCGGATTTTTAAAGGGAACCTCCAAAAACAATTATTAGATGTAATTACTTGTCTATGATAAATAATCATGTATTATATGGTAAGAATAAATGATTGAAACAGAACCTACAGAAAAAAAAAGAGAAAGTTCAAATGGCACAAATTGTGCCAAAATGGCTAATTTGGAAGGTCCGCCTAGATTTTTATCAACCAAGTGGAAATATTAGTTGTAGTACCTCTCTAAAACTCATATGATTAACTTTTTTTTCATGAAACTTGGCACAGTAAAAGGTCAGACTGTGTACTGTTTACTACATGTTTTGGATTTCATCTGCATTGCTTTGAAAGGAATCTTAATAGATTGAACTGTTTTTTTTAGGCGGAAATAGATTTTTTTTTCTTAATTTCTGCTTGTATCATATTAATTTACTTTCCTCAGTAACAGGCAGGGTGGTTTTTAGAGCTGTAACATATTCTCTAGGGTCTTGCCTTTGTTTTGATACCAAAACAATTAAAATAAACTCTGTAGTTCTTGAGATACATTCAATTCATTTTGGGCATGTTATT